CCAATTTATTGATCTTCTTCAATAATTCATGTCACCAGTGACCTACCATTTTCATAAGAATGTGTAACCGGCTATTTATACAGTTGAAGAGATATTGAATACGAATATCTCCTAAGAGATGTCTCAAAAGAGATAGGAATCGTCATCATTAGAAAAATCATTTGAGTTAACCGAAAAAATTAATGATTCCTAATGCTGTTTGATTATCATTTATAAAGATTCATAAGTTTATATTGATATTTAAAATATTTTCTTATTAGTCAGTGGGCTATGCTTGAAGACAGGCAGTAAACAAATCTAAAGAAATGAACTTCAAATGTTTAAGCCCGACTCGGATATACCTACACAGTAGGTTGAATGGACTGACGCCTGTCAGAAAACAACTATTCCGCTGGCTAATACCACGAACGGCTTCGGATGATATCCGACAGGCGTCAGTGCAGGAATATTCACAGAAAATTTCCTGCATATGCAATTGGCAATACAACTGAAAGAGTCGACCTTCAATTTTAGGAACGGGTACACTTGCAGACCGGTTTCGGGCTCCTTAGCCACTCGTCAGTGCAAGATAGTGACCATCATTGACCTAAAGTCAATGATACTCCATAATTGATAATGGAAATTCTCTCAGACTATTTCTATCTCTAGTGGACGCTCCAACGAGGACTGAAATACTCTGAAAGAATTTCGATTTTCAATTATGGAGTATTATTGACTTTAGGTCGATGATGGCCATATCTTGTACTGACGAGTGGCTAAGGAGCCCGAAACCGGTCTGCAAGTGTACCCGTTCCAAAATTGAAGGTCGACTCTTTCAGTTGTATTGCCAATTGCATATGCAGGAAATTTTTTGTGAAGATTTCTGAACTGACGCCTGTCGGATATAATCCAACGCCCTTCGTGGTATTAGCCAAGTAGAGTAGTTGTTTTCTGATAGGCGTCAGTCCATTCAACCTACTGTATAAGCATATCCGAGACGGGCTTGAACGTTCAAAGTTCATTTCTTTAGATTTTTTCATAAAGACTTAAGAAATGAAACAATTGACTAGTTATTATATATGTCTTTGTTATTTTTGTAGTTGTTGGTGTTGTGGTTTCATTTAAAATTTAGGAATTAGATATTTTATTCACAAAATATTTGGGATAATCATCATTACCTAGATTATTTTCAATGAGGGCAATTTTGTTTTAAAAATTTTGTGTTGGTGAAGTAGAAAACCTTATAAGCGATACCTCTGTCTAATTCATCTTCTGAAGACGCCAGATGGATGGATGAAAGGGCGTCGAGAAGAGTTTGCAGTTCTGGTGTTTGGGAACTTCACTTGTTTCGACTTATTTGATGATTTGAATGTGACAGTGAGTATCTAGTAGTATGTGATTTTGTTTCGAAATGATCTGTGAATATTATCGTGTGTACTCTGTTAGTAATAAAATTATTATATATATTTAAATCACAGTAAAAGGACTGGTCATGAGGGGATGTCCACAGGGAGGGGTCTTATCACCCCTCCTCTGGAACATAGTCCTGGATACCCTAATTAATCACCTTAACAAAAATGAATTCTACACAATTGCATACGCAGATGACATACTCATCTTGCAGACCGGCAAATTTGTAAACACACTGTGCGATAGAGCGCAGGATGGGCTCAAATTAATACAAACGTGGTGTAAGGAACACTCACTGTCGATCAATCCCAAGAAGACTGAGATGTTCCTTTTCACCAGGAAAAGAAGTTCAACGGGCTTAAAAAACCTCCCGAAATCTTCAAAAGCAAACTAAACTTTTCTGAAGAGGTGAAATACCTTGGTACTATCCTCGACAAGAAGCTAACATGGAACTCTCATCTACAGAGTAGAGCAAAAAATGAACTGAAAAAGAAGTAAATAGGCGAGATTCAGTATGGCAATCGGCACCGAAAGGTACAGACTGACATCTGTTCTTCCACCTAACCCAAAACAGACTACTAAATGGCAAATCAGAACAAACACAGAAAGAAAACAGTGATAACTTTCAAATGCACCTACGTCACAATTAATATAAACATTGCCATCGCTAAATTACTAAATAAATCACAGTTCAAATTGAAGATGAAGATCAGTGAAAGAAACATACATAATTGTTTTTCAAACATTGTAAATGGTACATTAATAATTCTCAGATCGCACTGAAGATGGAGAGTGGGAAAAATGAACAGAATTTAAAAAATAAAAAATAGAACTTACTATCTATCCAGAAATCTGATGATACGCGTCCGGAAAGTTGATAACGAGAGTTCTTTCAACTCTTGTGGTATTTTATTCATACATTTGGTGATGTGATAGGTCTGTAAAATTCTGTATGAAACATTGGGGAAGAAAGCAAACTTTTTCGTCTAATGTTAATATTATGTTCTGAGCGAAATGTACTACAAATAGGAGGGGTATTTTGAAACTTTGTAAAAGAAGCAGGCAGAGTGAAGGAACATTCGATCACTCATATTAAGCCATTTGTTTGTTTTCAATGTGTATGAAATCCTATCGTATTTTTTGATGGCATAAATTAACCTCAAGCAACTATTTTGGAGCTTTTGGATTCGTTTGATATCAATGGAGTTTATACAGGGAGCGTAAATAACATCGCAGTAATTCAACCTGAATAACACTAAAGAGTCACATAGTGAACTTTTAATTCTTTCATTAAATAACTGTCTATTTTGATAAATCAGTTTTAGATTACTACCAAAAACGATTGCAACGGTTTTATTTGAATTCAGTTTCAGGAAATGATTATTAGAAAATGGCTCAAGATTATTTAGATCAAAATTTAAAGCACTAATAGCCTGAGAGTATTCTTCAGGTTTGAATGACAAATATAATTGTGTATCATCAGCATAATGGTGCTGCGTGCATGATAGGAAGGACTTAGGAAAATTGCAAGTGTATAGACTGAAGAGTAGGGGACCCAATACTGACCCTTGTGGTACTCCTTTATCAATTTTCAAAAATTTCGAAACTTTTCCACCATATAGCACTGCCTGAGTTCTATCGCTTAAATGGCAGGATAGAAGTTTGGTAGCTTTTCTGCTGATCCCTACAAAGTTAAAAATGGCTTGTAATATTCTGTGATTGAGAGTATCAAATGCCTCATATTAATCTAGTAATATCAAAACAGATACTTTTCCTTTATCCGTAGCCTCAATTATATTATCAGTAATTTTCAGAAGCGCCGAAGTGCAGCTATGGCCTGGCCTAAAACCAGATTGGTTATTTTGAATAATATCGTTTTTCGATAAATGTTTTCCAATTTGGTTTTCAATGACATTCTGCAAAATTATTGATAAAGTGGGAAGTATAGTAATTGGTCTGATATCATTTAAGCTGGTAGGATTAGAATTTTTGGGCAGAGGTATAATGCGAGCTTGTTCCCAGGAAACATCCAGAAACATCCCAGGTCATTGTGTAACGATATGGTGTGATACCTCCTCAACCAAGAAGAAGGTTTTCATTTTCAGCTGAAGGACGGCAGGAAGGAGGAAAAAGTTTGGCCGTCTGGAACAATGTAAAATATTCTAGAGTATTCGAGAGCATTACATAACATACTGGAACATTCTAGAATGTTCGGCAAGTATGTGGAATGTTCAGCAACATGCCAGGTAATTGTGACACATCTCAGAACCATCTAGAATGCTGTGGAATGCTTTTACTACGATGTGAAAGAATCCATAGCTGAAGATGTTACTTTGTAAGAGAACCCAAAATATCCAAATTTATTGCACATGATTCCGTTTTATAAGTTATCGAACGCTTTGCTGTAGTTCAGCAAAACCAGGCAGATCAATTTACCTTCATCTGTTGCTCTGTAAATATCAACAGTAATTGCTAGGAGAGCAGTTGTGATACTGTGTTGCTGTTCAAACCCAGAATAAATAGGAGTGATTATATTTTGATTAACATAAGATATGTTCCTTCATGGATTTTTCATCAACTTCAATTGAGGTGGGCAAAATGATAAAACGTCAAAGGTCTCTTCAGTCTAATGGGAAACTACATTTAGATAGGAAAATCACTAGAGCATATTTCCATTTATATGGAAATAAACCACTTACTATCACACTATTTATTGTACTTGTGAAGCATTCCAATAAATAGACCTTCATCAAATTATATAAAGTGAGATTTGACATGAATCTATAGCACTGTTGTTCATACAGAAAATATATTTCATGTGTTGCACTGGAGAAATTGAATAGTTATTATGAAAAAACATTTAAAAATATGTTTAAAATAACGTATGTTTGAAATATGTTTTTTCCCGTTAACTATCTATCGCACCCTTACGAACGACAACCCTCAGAAGTCGAAACTTGTGCGAGCTAACGACTGACGAGGTCTTACCTTTTAACGTGTGATTCATAACAATAAAGTAGTCACACACAGCAAATGGATATTATTGCGATCTCCATCTTTCAGAGCGTCAGGTATTCATACAAGAGATCAAGAGAGCGTAGAGCGTCTCAACTGAATTTTTTGAATGTTTTCAATGTATATGTTTCATTAATGTATGTGCCTCTCACTGATTTTTTGCTTGAAAAGTATTGAGTTTCCTTTATAGAAAAAATAGCAAAAGCTTCACATCTGAAACAGTATTGAAAAAGAATGAAAAAAAAAAATCCCCTTAGCATATCACGGGGTCATGCTTTCTATCATGAATACTTCATTCGTGCTCCGTATTGTGATATGCATTGAAAATAGAAATACTTACTGTAAGTGATATCCAAAGAAAAATAGACTGTCTAAAATTGTGATTCTATCCCAACACAAAACCGTAATTTTTAACACCTCGACACGTGTTTCGATCACCAAATTTAGTATTGTTTACTGCCAGTCTTCAAGCATAGCCCACTGACTAATAAGAAAGTTGAGTATTACTCTTGAAGATGATCACTTGGTGATCGCAACTCGTGTCGAAGTGTTAAAACAACGGTTTGGTGTCTGAAATTGTAAAATAATCAGCTTACCTAACACTAACATCCTTTTGGTTTTCGTGTCTTCTCCACTGAATGTGGAAACGTTACAGGTATAGTTTCCTGATAAGTCGGGTCCTGTTTCCATGATATGTAATGCTCTATGGACGCTATTTGTATCTGAACTTGCTGAATAATCAAGATTCAGCCTGCCTTTCATGATACCTGAAAGTTATAGAAAAAAGGGAATTATATATCTGAAGTGATTCCTTATTATTTAAAAAAATATCATGAATGACCGGATTATAGGAATTATAGCGAACATCAACACTAAGAATATAATTTTAGATATTATCTCTATAGCAAAGGCGTGTTTTGACTGTTGTTATTTTTGTATGAAATTTTAAACAATTGAATGAAAAAAACTATATGGAGACACTTCCATATTAATGGTGGTCGTCCTCATGGCGAAAGACAGTTAAAAGGGTACGGGAAGAGATTTTCAACCTGANATTCATGTGATGCTGATGAAGAGACAACTGATACATCATTATTTGAACAATTTATGAACATCCGGCAAGAAGAGGAAGAAGACGAAGAAGAAATCGCAGAAGACATGATTGTTGAAGTTAACTATGACGAGTATGAATCACATTAAAGTATCAAAAGAAATCAAACTTACAATCACACTCCATAAACATTATCAACCCGAATAATCTTCATGCAGTCAAATAAGTATTGTGACTGAAAATTACGTAATAACGATTCGTGGAATAAGCCTACTGGGGAAACCATGTTAAAATAAACGTGCCGAGTACACTACCTCACAGGTGGTGTGGAAATGTGTGTATATTACATAGAACGTGACTTTTGCAATCGCGATATCTCAGGAACGGTGATACTTACAGAAATTTTGACCTTTGAATCCGAATAACTTTTGAAGCGCTTATGTGACAGATTGGGATTTTCAAATTTTAATTTTTTATGATAAAATAAAGGTCTTCACCAAAATTTACCTCTGTCGCAATTTTAATTATTTCATTACTGTTTTCAGGTCTAAATTGACCGGACTGCTAAGAAGAAACCCTATTTTTCAGTTTCGTTATTCACGCCGGTCCCTATCACACATCGAGTTTATAGATTTTTTCTATCAGACTTTTACTGTTATCAGATGCTTTTATGTTATGAGTTGAAATATAACCTGATACTGATATGTGTCACGGAATTTTCATCTACGCGACATTGCAACAAGTATGATTATTCATCATATGAGGGGATTTTTATTTTTAGATACCAGATAGATTGTTATATTGTTCAAGTATGCAAATCGCAATGAGTTGAGGTGATTTTATAGATATTTATTGTTATAGGTTTGATTGAACAATACAAGGTGATGGCGTAATCGGGAACTGCGACAATCCCTGTTTCTCCGTACTGGTAAGTCCTAGGAAGCTAAAATTGGTACTTCTCAGGTCTTAGATGTGCATTTAAAAAGGAATTTCAAATATTTCAACTGGAGCTCCCCCCATGGGGCTAAAAGGGGAGCGTTTACATATGAAAGTTATATATTTTCATCACTGCAGAAATTTTGCTTGCAGATTCGTTTTATGTTGTAGATGTGCAATAGGAAAGGATTTTTGAATATTCCAACTGGGGTGCCAACCGCGGAAGAAAAAGGAACGTCCATAAAATGAAATAACCTGTTCATCACTGTTTCTTCGGAGGCTGAAATTTTGTATGTAAGTTCGTTTTATGTTGTAGATGTGCAATAAGAAAGGATTTTTGAATATTCCAACTGAAGCGCCCCCTGGGGGTGAAAGGGGTGCTTTCGCATATGAAAATTACCCATTCATTACTGGTTCTCCGTACCGCTATATTTTTGGAAGCTGAAATTATGTGGGNGACAGGATGGACGATGACCTAGGAGGACAACTCCTCGGGAGGATGTACAATGGGTCACATGTGGCCTAAGTGCGTGGGCTTACACTCACCCTCCGTACTCTACAGATACAGATACAGATTATATGTATTTCCGAATAAATAATCATACATATCTCCACCAAGCTTTTCGGCGTTTTGGGTAGGTATCTATGAAAGTTTCTACACATTTCTTCATGAAAATATTACTGAAAACAGGAAAGAGGGAAAACAAATTTTGTTCATATGAATTATTTCTTGATTGAAAATATGTTGTCTCTGAACATGCTTCTAACATCTACATTATGTGATCTACTGTCAAGTTTGACTGAATGACTTTGTTTTCATAATAATCAATGATTTTTCTACAGGAAATTTCGGTAATAATGTGACGGTATCAAAGATTTCCAAAAGTTTCAAACATTTGTTGAGTGTTTTTCATATTTTTTCATTTCTGGATAAAAGAGAAGTTCAACGCTCTGCTATTTAAGGAACTCACAAATACACTAAATGATTTTCCCAAAAATTACAAGCGACAAAAAATCCTGAAAAATAAAACTTTTCAGTGGCATCGAATGAAACTTCTACTCTAGATTTCATCACGATTATTGAGCAAACTATTCAGAAACTTCCGCCTGCGTTTTCGAGTAATTTGGAATCCGCAATAAAATTATATCAGGGAAATCAAACAATTCATTTTATGATAGGTGTATTGCCAATAATGATCCGTACCTATGGCCATGAAGTTTCCCCGATTCATCTACTATCATGTATAGTTGTATGTACTCGTATGAATGGTTTTATTTATATCCTGTACAAGCAGATCCTGAAACAAGTAAGGAGAACATGGTCAGAAAAGTTTTACAAACATTCAATGCATTAGATGCCGATGAAATCAATAGTGCTGTAGATAGCAATTTGATGAAGAGATTCATTAAATGCCTGAATGGAAATATCTTCCAACATATTATGAAATAATCTCTATATTTTATTCATTATTCATTCATCGTAAATCCTGTCTTGTTTCAAGAAAATGAGTCGAAATCATTTCGCACTTTCAAAACTATCGTCAAGTACATGGTGTTTCTCAAAATCACTGGTACGAAACCAGATTAGGATATGGACCAATAAGAAGCACACATAGTACTGGACAAAAGTACCTGGCAACAAACACAGTAGAACCTTCATTGGGGAACCGTTCGAGAAAAGAACCGAAGAACTACTTCAATANAGCCTTTCAATCTCTTTTTACAGCTAAGGTTACCATATTCCTCATTTGCTTGTAATGTTTAAAATCAGTTGATTTTCCTGATTTTTTGAACAACACTTTTGCCTTATCTCTATCCTTCATCATGAGTTTAGTTGTATCTGTGAGCCAAGGAGCATATAGAATTTTCAGATAAAAGCGGTATTACGGCCGGATAAAAAAAATGCTCTATCGAATGGGCACATTTCACTCAAAAACTCATGGTTTGGTGATTCTGTAAAACAAATGGTGCATGTATATCTAAGAGTGTGGTGATGCTATCGACAAAAAAATCAACTTTGATGTCTATAGTTCATAAATGATTTTCCACTGGATTGGTTTCAGATGTGAATGAAATAAAGGATAGTTCAAATGTTTTAAGTCTCTAGTAGTAACAAAACGTGAAGTCGAAATTCTAGTTTTCAATTTTATTGTAGCAAAAACAAGTTCATTATCACTCACCTCTGGTACATGTTTCACTCCTATATCCGCTACAATATCTTCATTACTTGCTAGTACATAGTCTAT